CTGGTCTGTTTTGAACCTGTTGCCCAATAACTTCACTGGATGTCCATTGTCTAGACCAGAAGAACACTTATATGAGTGTAAATGTCATTTCTACACACAAGCAACATAATTTGGCCCCATTTGAGTATCATTCCTACTGCTGAAGGAAGCCCAAGCTTGGTTCTGCTCCATGTTCACTTTGACTCCCTCAGCTGTTTTGGAGTTGAGGCACCAACCCTGTGTCTTCCAGGATCACTGTTTGTGGTGGCCCTGAAGGGGTAGGTGAGGTGTGGGTTCTGCCACCCTCTGAACTGGCCTGGGAGGGAAATGACACAGCTCAGCTCCACGATTTACTTTAATGAGATATAAAATCAGCACCCCTTGAAGGGTCCAAGGGCAGATTAACCATCAGTCCTGACCTGATTTGTGGCTGTTATTGCAAACGTGGATTGGCCGCACGGTGAGAGCTTTGCTTTGTCAATAAATCCCAGACACAATGGACTGCAGGAAAGGGAAAACGATCCCAGGAGCTGGGGAGGATGGGGGAGACAGCTTCCCTACGGCAGCCAATTGCCTGGATCAGGCCTACAATGTTTAATTCACAAACATGCAATCTTTAGCTCCTTTTACGTGTCCCCAGGCAGTCTCATAGACACCACCTGAAGTATATTAGAGCCTGGCTGATTATGGGTCTGCTCCAAAGCCCTCTGAAGTCAGTGGGAGTCTTTCCCCTGACTTCACTGTGTTTGGGGCAGGCCCTGGATGAATATCCCTCAGGTTAGACAGTTTAATCATCCATTCAGCAGTACACAAAGCAGATCACATACACTTTTAGCCTGCATTGTATGGTGTTATGAAACGAGAAGATTATTTGATATGATTCAGAGATAGCTCCGGTATAAGGTAAAAAAAAAAAAATAACACCTTTGATGTTTAACATTACACTTCAGTTATTCCTTGAGGGGCATATTCTCGTCACCTTACCCAGGTGAATATTGCTCTCGGTAATTTGGTCAAAAACATTCCAACAACCTTCTTTTCAACAGAAAATGTTGGGGGGTGGGGGGAGAGCAGGGGCGGAAATTCAGCTTGATGGAGATTTCTGCTGAAAAGAGAAAAAAAATAAAAGGTAAATTTTGTGTTCTTTTGACAATCAGGAAAAAAAAGAATAAAAATTGGTTTTGAAGGGATTTTATAACAGGACAATAAAACTTGTCTTTTTTTTGGTCTTTTTTTTTCTTATTTTCTTTTTTTTTTTTTTTACCTAGGGAGAAACAACAATTTCCCAACAATTGCATTCGCCATGTGGCACAGCTATTTCCAGCTGAGGCATCAACCATGTATGTACTATCAACCACGCCTGATTCTCATCTTGACTCTCTCAGGTCAAGCTATAAAATGAGGCTTTATCCCTCTTATTTTATTTGCTATCAGAACAAGACTGACAGGACCACCTTCCATGAACAAGGGGGTAAAATTTAGGTACATCGCACCCCAAAGCAGGCCTTGTGGGGCCTTATATCAAGAAGCCTGATGAAGATTTTTCTGTTATCTGTAGATACACAAAGAGGGCAAGGGCAGGATACCTGTAGTTTACTTGAACACTTCTGTATCATTTGAACTATTCCTAGATATTTCAGGAAAAAATCGCCCTCAATCAGTATTAAAAAAAAAAAAAAAAAAAAAAAAAAAAGGCAATAAAACCTTCTGTACAGGCACAACACACCGTGGCCAAATTCCACGGACTTTGTGAGCAACAGGGCAAATCAAAGCCTCTTCCTTCAGAGGAGAAGCAAACCACAGTCCATGGCCAGTGGCAATAATTGAAGCCCCATTTCTAAGAGATTTGGCGGGGGATGAAACCCAGCGCGGATGGCTGTGTTCTGCCTCTTGAATCCCCTCCCACCGCCCCGTAATACCCTCGGTGCTGCTGCTGGGGGCGGGGGGTTTAACTTTACTGGCACAAGAGTTTCCTTTGTTGATGGGAGCTGGGTCTCCTCTAGGGGACTGGGTTGATCCAGCTGTACTGGCAAAGCCTTTGTACTGTGGAGCAGCTCAAGTGCAGACCTGCAGTGGGTGCCTGCCCGCACCTTTGCTGGCAGGTCGATAAGACCAGCGCTGAGCAAAGTTAAACGACCCCGTGCTGGAGAAGTGCCACACGTAGGAGCCAGCAAGCACCTGTGTTACTGATCCAGCACATCTCTTAAAATGCCTCTGGACTGCACTTCTTTTCAAGCAGGGAATGTCTTTCCTTAGGAGGTGTGTGTGCTGGGAGAGCCACGGTCCCTGGCTGGGGGTGTTTCAGCACAGGGCACAGGTGCGAGGCAGCTGTGCTCGCAGTTATCAGCACAACCACGGTTTCACATGGAGCACCACAGTCCTGCCCGGGTGGAGTGGCATCTTCAGGATGCCTAGAAAGACTGGAGAAAGCAAGCAAAGGTGAGACTTCCTGAGATCCTCGGCGTTAGTGTCCAGCAGTTGGGATCTGTGGGCTCCCAGGTCACCCACATGAGATCACTGCTCCCCTAAAGCCTATGAGATTCTGTGTAGAACACATTTTACAGAGTGATTCCAAAGGCTGCCAGAGCAGAGGGGATGGAGGCCTGAAGTTAGTGCCTCTCTCCAAGAGAAGGACAATTCTTGGCTGACTTTTCTGGGAGCAGGCTATGCCCTGGGCTTCTGGACCATCACCTGACCAAGCCTGGGAAGAGGCTCATTGTCATGGAGAACTGCCCATCCCAGGCATGGCCTTGGCATTTAGAGGGGAGTGGGAGCCCTCAGAGTGGAACAGTAGGCTAATTGCCTTTGTCTTTCACCTCCTTCAATCGGGCAATCTCAGTAAATCCCTAAGCCCACGACAAAAGCCCTGCTACTTTTAAGTGCCTTTCATTAAACTCAATCCTCTTGCCCTCCCTCTCCCAAGATTTGCTAAAAAAAAAGTCTTTTTTAATGACAAAAGGAAACCTAAAAGGCTGCCATTAGCTCATTCACTTGGCTCCTCTGCAGACTAGGTGTCTATTTGCTGAAATCTACTCTGGAGTGTCCCTTGGGCAGGTCCTTTACCCTGAGCACACCAGGGGTGGTTCTGCAGCAGGAGGGGCCACAGGTCCTGGTTCCAGCTAAGGGTGTACTTTCCTTGGAAGGAGTGGGATTTGGTGCTAATGGCTGGACAGGTGCACTGGAGCCAGTCAGACTTGACAAAACCTCCCTGGAGCCCACCACCATCCCTCAGGAGTGAGGCTGGAGCACTGTGGTGGGTGAATCCTTCCCTGACTCTGCTCTGGCAGGTTCTGGCTATGCCACCACCAACCGATGTGGCACAAGGTCCTTTGAGCCACAGGATATTTTCTGAGAACATACTGCCAGGTGTAGGTCACAGAGCAACACAAATCTGCCAGATTTGAGATCCTCAGGAGCAAACATTTATGGATAATGCCTGCAGAAACATACAGCTGATGGAAGTGGCAAAGAGTAAATGCCGAAACAAATCTGGGTAGAAGAACACGAGCTGGACACACGTGAGTGTCCCATGTTGGTCCAGTGCTTGGTAAGGTCTGACAGCAGGCTGGCAGACTGGGGAAGGGGTGCAATGGTCACTTAGACATGTGAGTATGCTGTTCCTGGGTTTACTTAATGACTGGCTCTATATCTTTTGGAGGCGTAGGGAATCCCTCCACCGCTTTTAGGTCAAACTCAGCAGTCCAAAATCCAAATAAAGCTATTCCACACCTGGTGGGATTGAACTCCAGCAGAACAAGACTGACCACCTTGTCCTTTTTCCTAGTGGTAATCTGCCCTTTCCCTCCCATTACCACTACCACTGCATCACCTGAGACAAAATTAAAATCAAGAGGAATTATCCCTAAAGCCAGGAAGATGGTATCTGTGCTGGGAAGGTGTGAGGGAGGGGGGGATGAGGCAGGAGTTGCCACCCGCCCACTGGTCTCAGCGATTGCACAAGTGGCGGTTGGCCAGTGCTGGGGCAAGTACTTGGTCCCAGTGCTGGGGCAAGTACTTGGTCCCAATCCCAAACACATGGAAGTCATCTGATGTTTCGTCATGGCTTCATTATGAAGAGCTGGTCTTGCATCACTGCCCTGTACGTTATGCAGGTAGCCAGTGAAGAGGTGCTGCCAACTGTTTTGTTTTCTAAATAGCCTGCAGGGATGGCCTTACATCACGGGCAGATGCTTGAATGTTAAACAGCTGCAATTTCATGCTTAACTTCATTATTGATGCTGCATTCCTCATGAAGACACTTATATTTATGCTCTAACCACACACAGCTCCCAACAAACAGCTTATGCAAAATGGCAAGAATTAGGGGTTGATTGTTCAGCATAATGGCTGCTTGAGGATGGATTCTCCTTTCCCAGCAGCAGGAAATCAGGAAGGCTTCTCTGAAGTGCTGCCTGGCCCACTAGCTGACTGGTCCCACCTCCTGACTAGCCCACAGTGTAAGCAGGTGCAATCCCATTAGAGAGAAACTAATTTGCAAAAACGGATCAAGCCAACAGCCAAGCTCAGACCTTGTACCTCCTGCTAGCTGGCACCGCGCTGGAACCAGCCTCGCTGCTTTTACTTTTGCAAGCTTTTATTTTTTTTACTAAAACCAGGCTGAAAAAGGACAGTTGCAATTCAGAACGTTGACAAAAACAAACAAACAAAAAATCCAAGAGTGCCCACTCTGCACAGAGAGATTCCAAGAGGCTGCAAAACAGCTAAGATGTGTCTCCTGATCTGATATCCCAGATCAGATGTTTTTCTGTTTTGCTGCACAGATGAAACTGTTCATAAATCTTTGCACCTTTTATCCCAAACCACGTGAAAGAAAAACCTGTCTCCCACAGTTTTAAAATACTTCAAACACACTGAGGAACAACCAGGCCAATATCTAACAATTGTTAACATTTTATTCCCAATAGCTGTTCAGCCTGAAAAGTTTCATTAACACACTAACGAACAAAAACAAAACCAACAAAAAATTCAAAACAAATAAAACAACAAAAAAAGAAGGGGAAACGAAGTAAAATAAACTTTAACAAAGTTTAAAACACATTATAAATAAGTACAGCTCCAGAGCATAATTTACAAATATAAAACCACATAGAAACGTATGTACAGAAGAGTTACATTACGTACAAATATGTATAAAAATAGCCCAGTGTTTATTCTTGTGCTAAAGCTGCATGGCTAGAGTTATCTTTGGTACTAAGCTCAAGGAAAAGGGTTGTTTTACAAGACACGGCCCCGCTGTACAATATGCCATGCACAGGAAGACCCTCTGTGAGTCTGAGAAGGTTTTGGGTGGGTTGTTTACCCAGAGTATCCCCCTGTGCATTGCATATTGCAGGAGCAGGGCAGAAGCAAGGGCTTACAGAGGCAATTGCTGGCAGAAGAGTTTTTTTAATACATTGTACAAGGCACTTCATAAGAAATCTCTTCATTTTCTTTTTCCTGTTCTCTTCTAAGACTCGCTGGATGTCTACACTTGGCTCTTGCCAATACCACTTTATGGTTATAGTTTTTAAACTTCTGGTTCTACATTCAGGATTAGAAACCTCTGAAAACATTAATTCAGTCCACGCCTGTAGAATTTAGATGGCAAACCACCTAAACCACCTAACATTTTCCAGGATGGGGAAAAGACTTTGCATCTGCCTTCTGCTGGTGTTTAAGGGGTGTTCTTGTTCTGAAAGGTGAGAAGATCCGTCTTCCTGGGAGAACTCCTGGGAAGTGTCCACATTGAAATGCTGTTTGCAATAAGCATATGGTCCTCTGTGCTGCCAGGTACACCTGCAACTCCCATTCCCTTTGCAGCCCGACGGCCCCAGGACCCTACACCTCGGTTCCATCCCGGGTGTAGATGAGGCTGTTCACCGTGAAGTTGTAGTAGTGGTTGTACTGGGCTCCCTGGCTGCTGCTGCTGGGATGGAAGGAGCTGTAGTAGGCGGGGGAAGGTCCCGCAACCCGCTGCAGCTGGTCTGGTGAAGGCACCTCCTGAGAAGAGCTGCTGGAAGGGGTGAAAGTGCCACTGCTCAGCTGTCCAGCAGAGAAGTTCCTGTGATGCAGGTCACTGCTGAGACCCCCCGTCAGCCGGCTGCCCCCGCTGCTCAGGGAGCTCATGCCGCTGAAGAAGGTGCTGAGGCAGCTGGGGGTGGATGAAATGATACCGGAGGGAGAGGAGCTTTTTGGATGGTCCCTGGCAGAAGGTGAGGGGTCCAGCTCCGGGGGTGGGCTGTTTCCACATGGTTTGCCCGTGGCTGGGATGGGTCGCTCTTCCTCGGCCTTCAGGCCCCCCAGAGAGGAGGCCGCGGATGCGGTGGCGGGGGCGTTGGGCTCAGAGCGCCGCTTGCGCTTGCGACGGAAGTTCCCGTTGTCAAACATCTTCTCACAGTTGGGATCTAAGGTCCAGTAGTTTCCCTTCCCTGGTGGAAAACAGGAGACACAAGAGAGAAAGTCAGCTTCTGTGACAGCGAACCCCACTGCTGACAGATAAGCAGCACCCATGTCTTGTCTGACTGGCACAGACCCCACATCTCTCTCTCCTACACCTGTTTCTCCTCTCTGTTGTCCCTCCAGTGTATGGATCCAAAACCTGTTTCCAGGACATCACCACCTCCATCCCTCCAATGCTCAAGTGAACCTTAAGGTCATATGGAGGAGGAGAACCCATCACAGAGCATAAACCTCCGGGGAGAATCTGTACCTCTACCTCAGACTTAGCTAAAGAAAGCAAGAAGTGGGGCTCCCCTTGCTCTGGCTGCCTCACAGAAGCTGGGGCACTTGCTGCCATCTCAGCACTGACTGACAAGGCAGTGTCCCTGCCATGGCTCTTCTCAGAAAGGCTGATGGAAAGCCGGGTTGACACACTCCGGCACTCCGAGAGGACAGCAGGACAGCAGCACTGAGCTGTGGGGGTCGCAGACAAGCCGCCCCACGCACAAGACTTGGTGCGAGGTGCTGTGGTGGCATCAGCTGTCCCCACGCGCCTCCTGCCC